AAAAAAGAATTTGATTTATATAAAACCACCAAAATGAATCCCGTTAATCTGTACAACCAATATGTACTAATTTAAAAATGTGGAAAAAGTAAACAAGATGTAACAAGCTGTATTATCTATAAGCACAACTTCCTCATTTTCCTGAGACTATATACATGTTAAGAAAAGCTCATTATGGGCACATTTATCAAAAATTTTTCGGGAGCTGGGGATTTAGCTCAGTGGTGCTGTGGCTGCCTGGCAAGCTCAGGGTCCTGAATTCGATCCCCAGTACTGAGAAGAGAGGGAAAAAAATTTTATTTTACTCATATCCTTCCTCCAAAAGGTCACTCTCATTACCTCAAACAACAAACTAGGAGAGAAGAAAACAGAGAATGTAAGATGAACTAATAATACTGAAGTGTGTTCAACAAGGAATATTTAATTTTGCACCTAAAAGTTCTCAAAACTTTTAAGGAATTGTGCAAGGCCCTGGGTTCAATTTCTAGCACTATGATGGGATGACGGAGCCTTTTAGAGGAAAAAATTTAGGCAAAAATCTAACATTGCAATTTCTTTTTTGGTACCTAGAATCAAACTCAGGATGTTGCACTTGCCAGGCAGGTGCAGTGCCACTGAACTAAATCCCTGGCCCTACAATTTTTTTTTAATGACAATTTATCCTAGATTTTTTTTTAAATTCCATTTAGAGGGCCAGTGATTTAGCTCAGTGGTTCCGCCGCCTGCCTCGAAAGTGCAAGGATCCAAGTTCGACCAAAAAAAAATTCCATTTAGAGGTTAATTATTAAATGAATTCATGTCCCTTCTGATATATCAGTTAGAACCAATCAGGTACTTTTCAATCCATTATTTGAATTTTTCAATTATGTTAATCCTCCTCACCCAGCCAATTTCACCTCTGATCTTCCCAGGACTTTTGCCTAGGACACTGCTATGACACCTCCTTTGACTCTTTTCTCATCCTTTAGGCTTACCCTACCAGCATTCTCTGCTCAGATTCTTGCTTTCTTCCTTCATACCTGATCTTTCCAGGTGTTCCCTTCATGAGAATGTAGAACCTGTGTGGGCAGAAACTACATCCACTTTGTTCACTGTTGTATCTTGAGCCTGCAGAGTACCTGGTACAAAACAGGCACTCAAAATGTTTTCAAATTAAAAAAAAGTATTCAATGAACTATGCAAAATGTCTTTTTCCCATCCCTTAAGAAAAAAGGTTCTAAGGCCGGGGATTTATTTCAGTGGTTCTGATGCCTGCCTCGAAAGCACAAGGACCCAAGTTAGATCCCCGGTACCAAAAAAAACAAAACGAAATAAAGGTCCTATGGAAATATTTTGTATTTAAAAGTACTCTCAGGCTAGGCATGGTGGTATACATCTGTAATCCCAGGCAGGATTTCAAGTTGGAGCCCAGCTTGAACTCTGAAACCCTGTTTCAAAAGTTTGTGGGGTTTTTTTGGTACCAGGGATCGAACTCAGGTCCTTGCACTTGCACAGCAGGCAGCGAAACCACTGAGCTAAATCCCCGACCTGTTTCAAAAGTTTTTGTTTGTTTTTGTTTTTTAAGGAAGGGGGCGTTAGGGACATAGCTCAGTATGAAGGGCTTGATTTCAACCCCAAGTAATGCAAGAGGAAAAAAAGGCATAGTGGGTCCTGTCTGTAAATCCCACTGGGGCTGATGAAGATAAAGAAGGAGGTTCTTGAGTTCCCAGACCACTCCAGGAGACTCAGTAAAACCCTATCTCAAAATAAATGGGCTGGGCTGGGCCAGGGGTGGTGGTGTGCACCTGTAATCCCAGCAGCTCTCGGGAGGCAGAGCCAGGAGGATCCCAGAGTGTTTGAGGCTAGCCTGGACTACACAGGGAGACCCTGTCTCAAATAAATAAATGGGCTGAGGTTGTAGCTCAGTGCAACAGCCCCAATTCAATCCCTAGTACCACAGAATAAATTTTTTAAAAAGAGATAAACATAAATTCACAGATTATGTTTCCAGAGCACCATGCTCTGCTATTCTCAACTTGAGCACTGCTGCTTTTATTTCTGGGACTACAGCTAATGTCTGTCCCTACTATATGTGTTTTGCATCACTCTTGTGATGAAAATGACCTGGCAGGGAGCAGGTTCTCAAAAATACCTTTACTTGTAAAATGATTCAACAAAGACTGGAAATGCAGCTCAGTGGTACAGCATCTGCCTAGCACACAAGGCCCTCCTACCACAACAAAAAGAAGTAATTTATTCACAGTACTTTGTAAATACTAAAGCTATATAAAAGGATTAACATCAGACAAAAAGTTCATTAATTCAAGGAATATTTACTGAAGGCCTTTAACTATATGCTGACCATTTTCCCAAGGCACTCAGAATGCATTAGTGAGCTAGGTAAAGCAGCTCATGCCCGTAATCCCAGTACTCTAGAAGACTGAAGCAGGAGGATCACAAATTCAAGCCCAGTGCATGCAACTTAGTCACTTGGCAAGATATTGTCCCAAAATTTTTAAAAGGATGGGAGTGTAGCTTCATGCAAAGAACCTGGATTCGACCTCCAGTAGTACACACACACACAAAAAATGCTTTAGTGAACAAAACAGAAAAGATCACTACATATTCTAGTTCTAGTTCGCGAAGACAAACAATGAAAATAAACACTATGCCTGGTGGTGCACACCTGTGACCCCAGCACTCAGGAGGCTGATGCAGAAGGATCATTGGGAGTTCAAGGCCAGCCTGGGCCACATAGCGAGACCCTGTCTCCAAAAGAAACAACCAAAAAAGAAAATAAACACTATACACATACACACATACACATATACACACACACACAGGTGCATATACACATATAATTTGGGGTGGGGGGGGCTGGGGATCAAACTCAGGAGCTTGCACTTGCAAGGCAGACGCAGTGCCACTGAGCTAAATCTCCAGCCCCATAAAATTTTTTTGGGGGGGGTACCAGGGATCAAACTCAGGACCTTGCGCTTTCGAGGCAGGCAAGAGAATCACTGAGATAAACCCCAGCCCTTTATGTAATTTTTTTTAAACAGTACTGAGGATTGAGCCCAGGGCCTCACCCACATTAGGCAAGTGGCCTGAGACTGAGACACTTCCCCCACCCCTTTTTATTATGAAACAGGGTCTCAGGAAGTTGCTCAGGCTGGCCTTGAACTGGCCATCCTACTACCTCAGGCTCCCAAAAAGGTGGGATTGCAGGTATCACTAGCACTATCAGTCTTTTCTTTAATTATATATATTTTTTAATTGTAATGCTGAAGATGGAATCCAAGGCCTCAGGCATGCCAGGTGGGCCCTCTACCAGTGAGCTACCAATGGATGGGGCTCAGCCCCAAATTAAGTATATTTGAAGGTGATAAATAACATGGAGCAGAGGAAGGCGAGTAATGGGATTGGTGATACATAATGTACCATCTAAGATGACTGCAGGAGAAACAGTCAAGAGCCGTGTGCTTGGATGAGTCTTCTGATCGGCTTTCAGAGAGAACAGAGGTCAGAAAGGAACAGTAATAGCCAAAGTACATAGTGTCTTATAGGCTCATATTTCCATTACAATCACAACTTTCTAACAAAACTGACATGGTGAAGTTTAAATTTCCTCGGTTCTTATACCGATACCAGGAAAGAGAAGCACATCAGAATTACAACCCAATAGTTCCTACCCAAAGACTGATGTAAACCTAAAGTTCCTCTCTTCACCTGGTGGTTGCAAATACTACAAAAATTTTGTTTTGTTTTTTGGTTTTGTTTTGAGACAGGGTTTCACTACACAGTTCAGGCTGACCTCAAACTCACTATATATGTAGCCTAGGGTGTCTGCCTCAGCCTCCCAAGTGCTAGAATTACAGCTGTGTGCCACCATGCCCACCTTTACTGAATTTTTTTGAGGGGGTACCACGGATTGAACTCAGGTCCTTGTGCTTGTGAGGCAGAGAGTGGAACCACTGAGCTAAATCCCTGGCCTCTTTTACAGAATTTTTAAAAATGCATATCCCAGGGCTGGGGATTTAGCTCAGTGGTTCTGGCGCCTGCCTCGTAAGCGCAAGGACCCAAGTTCAATCCCCGGAACCAAAAAATAAAATAAAATAAAATACATATCCCCAAAACAAACCTCAAGACTCTGTAAGCAAGGCAGGCCAGGCTTGGCTTCCTAGGACTCAAAACTACATATAGTCTTGTGATGGCATTTTTGAGAAAAGGTTATTTCCAAAATAATTTTTGAAAAAAGTTATTTCCGAAAGATTTTAACACTAAGAATTCTCATAAACTACACAAATAAACCTTAAAATGGCCTAGAAGAAACCTGAGGATCATTGGAAAACCTGTGGTTGCATCTCTTCCCAATGCTTCCACTTGAAAAGCTTATCTATTGCAAGTAATCACACTGATTCTGTGACCCTAAACATCTGCAATCAGGGATAAACCTTAAACCTTTTACTTGGGAAAAAGTTACAAAGCTACATTATTAATATCAAAAATATATTCTTATTAGCCAAATCAGAATTTTACAAATCGCCCTCATTATATTTTCCAGCTTCTTCCTGCTGCTTCTTTTTTTTTTTTTTTGGTACCGGGGATCAAACTCAGGACCTGGCACTTTCGACACAGGCAGCGGCACCACTGAGCTAAATACCAGACCCTAGCTTCTTCCTTCTAAAGCTAGAAAAGGCAAATATTAACTCACTAAAAAGGGAAAAATATCTATGACAATTAAATATAAAAAGGGACTGAGTTACAGAAGTGATTTGCTCATTGAGGCTCTAAGCAATTTCAGGAAACCTGCAGACTTGTAAATAACGTTTAATATCAGAGAAAAAATAATTATAAAAACCAAAAGAATATTCAGAATCCTGCATAACTCTCTAATCCAAAATCTACTTTCAAAGAGCCTAGCACTAAAGTAAAATCACCTCTTATGCCATTTACCCAATTACCCTTCAATGGGAAACATAGTTTTTAATAGCAGAATCAAGAGCACTTAGTGTATATACCTTGTTGAGTTCTTCTATTCTTCTAATTAGGTAAGGGTTGCTGGAGGAATTCTCAAAGTAGACATAATCTGTAATTAAAGGAAGTTGTAGAATTTAATCTTTTCAACAGAAAACTCACATCTGAAAATCCATTCTTTTCTATACTCCAAAATTCACGTTAAGTAAACACATAATCCATTCACTAGCAATACAATCTTAATATATACTCTTATATACCTACTATCCAGAGACCTTTATTTCCCTTTCACTTCAATTAGTGTTTTCTCAAGTCTTCCCAGACTTTTGTCCTACATGTCACTTCTAGAATAAACAAAGACACCTCATCACTGAGTAGTCAGGGCTCACTTCACACTTCCTTCACATCTTTCCCTCCAATCCAATCTGCCCTGGAGTATGCTTCTCACACAGAACTGTTGACCTAAGACACATTCAGAGCAGGACTAGGCTTTACAGCCCATGGCACATTTTAATCGCAAATTAAGGGAAAAAAAAAAATTTAGGAGGGCAAGGCAGGAAGAGGAAGGACAGTGACAAACTTTTCTAAAGCTCTACCTGGGAAAGGGAGGAAAAAGGGAGAGGGGAATCACGTGCTGAGAGGCAGAGCCCTCTGGGGTTGATGTTGGAATCTTTTCACCCTTTTACCATACTTAAACCAGACCCATTTAGGCTCTTATTATAAAGAAATTGCTGCAGGCTTTCAACAAAAAGGATAGAAATGGACAAGTGTGGCTTTTCCTCCCATCTAACAGGCTCAATGGAAACTTCCCACTGTGTGTCTGAGAGGCTGAAATGCATTGTTACTGTCTACCTTAGCGGCTCTCTCCCGTCTCCTCCGCAGAGTGGCCTCATTTAGCCAGGCCATTCCTACCTACCACCATCCATCAGGAGCTCGGCTAATGAGCAGAGGAGGAAGAGCAAGTCTCGCTCACACATAAACACGCCACTTATCTGAATTATTATTTTACCAGCAAAGAGGGGAGGAGGGCGTCGCGAGCAGGGAGAAAGTTTGTTTGACCTTATTTCCCTCTTCCGCAGAAGGCTGGGAAGGCAGGCAGCAGAGCCCACGTCCAGGCTGAGCTCCACTCCCCACTTCCACCTGCGGACCCTGGACCCTACTGAGCCCCATTCTTGCGGGAGGCTGGGCAGGAAACGAGGGGAGAGAAGGGAAGGTGCAGGGCTCCCGGTGACCCTAAAACCAGGCCCGTCACGCTGGGCCCTGGGCAGGGCCCCCACCCCCACCGCGCACCCACTGAAGGGGGGCGGGGAAGGGGTGTCCCCCATGCTCCTCTCTGAGCACGGAGGCCACGCGAGGGACAGGCCACCAGCTGGGGGCTCGACGGTCCCTATTCCCACGGGGGACTGGGGGGATCTGGTTCCTGCCCACAAGGGGAGGCCCGACCCGAGGAGCCCGGAGGGTCCGGGGGCTGCAGGGCCGTGGCCCGCCGTGGGGGAGGGGAGGCTGGGAGGGGTGGGGACCCCGCGCCCTCCGCCCCGGCCCCCGCAGCCCGCTGCACACGCGCGGGTCGGGCCGAGCCTGCCTACCTCCGACCCGGTACATGT